TTTTGGCGGACACAACATCTTTGTTGGTATGTGGTGCTGAGGATCGAATCCGGGCCACACGCATGCCAGGCAAGCGCGCTGCCGCTTGAGCCACCTCCCCAGCCCGGAACCAGTCTCTTGTGTGGTCTCTTTCTCCGACGCTCCGCCGGACCCTTACATTCCCTCCATCTCATATGTGTGCCCTTATTCTTGGAAGAGCCTCTACTACCTTACAAGGTGTTCAGGTCTTCCCTGGCATTACTGATAATGATTTCACTGGAGAAATAAAAATACTGGCCACAGCTATCCAAGGTAATGGCCAAGTTGATGCAGCAACTCATTCCATCTTTCCAATTTTTGTTGGCTCCATTCAAAAGGCCACAGAGTCATACAATCTTCACCATCTAAATTCCCAGAGCCTTCGATTACTTTGTAAAATTACCAGGCAACAGGCACGAGAAATAGTAAAAGCATGTCCTGCTTGCGCTGTCTCCCTCCCCATTCAACACTTGAGTTAACCCCCGAGGATTATTGCCCAATCAGGTTTGGCAAATGGATGTTACTCATTTTCCTGAATTTGGAAAAAGCAAATATATACACGTTTCTATAGATACCTTCAGTGGCTTTATTTTTGCATCACCACATTCTGGAGAGGCTACCAAAGATGTCCTTTCTCATCTTGTTTCAGCCTTTTCCATAATAGGTAAACCAATACATATTAAAACAGATAATGGTCCTGCATATACCAGTGTCAAGTTTAAACAGTTTTGTGCTACCTTACAAATTTGTCATGAAAGGGTAAAGTTTCTAAGCTGCAAAGCCTGAATTAAAAAGTGAAAGACCAGGTATTGTAAAGTTCCTCTGCTACACCCAGAACCTGAAATTCCTTAGATAGTTAAGAACGCCCTACTGGCCATTTAACCTAGGGCCCTGTGCAGTTTGTCATGTAAGCATACAGGGCCTGAACCAATCAGTTTGAATGTGTACCCCGCTTAGGAGTGACCAGTCATCCCTGCCCGACCTGTTCCCACCAATGAATGTGCTAATCATGTATGAGAGTTGTTGTTTGATTTCCCCCGTGCCTCATGTTGATTTGTTTTGATGTATGCAAAGCCCCAGCCCTCCCCAAAAAGTGTACTTAAGCACTGCTTAGCCTCTGCTCTGGGCTCTGGGCTGCTCTCGCTTCTTGAGTGAGCCTAGAGCCTTAGCACACTGAATTGGATCCTCAATAAATCCCCTTCTGCAATTGCATGAGTCAGTCTCTTGGTGGTCTCTTCCTCTGACTTTTCGCTGGACCCTTACAGTCATACTACTGGAATTCCATACAACCCTCAGGGCCAAGGCATTGTGGAACGTGCCCACCTTACCTTAAAGACTTGGTTAACCCACCTTAAGGATTCCGCCCTTGCCTTTGTATTTACCACTCCCAGGGATCGCCTTAACCATGCATTATTTGCTCTTAATTTTCTTACCCTAGACAGTGAAGGCCATTCAGCCTCCGACAGACACTGGCATCCCTCGTCCAATTCTGTTTGCCCACCTGTTATGTGCCGCGATCCCCTTACAAATAAATGGAAAAGCCCAGATTCTATCCTCATCTGGGGGCGAGGCTCAGCTTGTGTTTTGGACCAAGAGCAAGCAGCCCCAAGATGGTTATCAGAATGCCTGGTTAAACAGGTTAATGACTTACCTGAACCCAGGGACAGAGGCCCTCCCCCTGAGGACAAATTTTCCTCTTTTGCAGACGCAGCCAATAATCTGTGTGAGGATCCTGCTTAAGGCACTTCTGCTCAACAAGTTTGTACATGGAGGCCTTAGCCCTCCACCTTCCAACATCAGGGAGTACCTTTTTGGCCCCCCTTGCGAATACAAGGAAGGATCTTGGACTCAGGCTCTCACTAGTTGGACCCAGACTGCTGACTGCTTGACTAAGGTGGCTTACCTCCGCGCTGAGGTTGACCATAAACTCGGAGGAGTTCATCAGCCTGAATGGGTATATGTTAACAAGCCAAAGATTATTCCCCCCAGTACAAGTAAAGCTCTCCAAAATTGTTCTGCAACTTGTACGCATACCCAGGTGATGCATGTCTCTTGTTATGCATCAGCCTCAATTTGTGTTAACAAGCAGGGAGAACAATTTTTTGAAGCCACCCTAACTAAAACTCATGCAGCAGGGGGGACCACTGTTCATTATACCCCATTCTCTTTGACCAGGGAGGAGAAGGCATATACACCATGTTACAGTCAGCTGGATGCCAAGGCATTGTTGGTAAACCCTCCTGCTGGTCCATTAAGGCCCCTACAGGGGTCTCTGATGGTAGAGGACCCACTGATGCTATCAAGCATCTTCAGATAATCAAACTTTTGAAACCCCAGATCCCTGAGCTCACATATCATCCCTTAATGCTGCCTAAATCCTAGCTCCCAGATTTAGATACCAATACATTAGATATTTTGAAAACTACCTTCTCCTTGCTTAATAATTCCAATCCCACCCTTGCTAGTGATTGCTGGCTCTGCATGACAACAGGGGCAATCATGCCTATGGCAGTTCCTATTAATTCTATCATAGACAATGATAATACATGCCAACCCGGATTTCCTTTTAAAGTACAGCCTAGAGGCACTTTTACATCATGTCTTTTAGGCGCGATGCAGAATAATACCTATGATATTGATGTTAGAGTTACTTCCTTTGGAAATTGCTCAACAGTACAAAATTATTCCTCACCCACCAGGCTGATACAATTTATTAAAGAACAGATTAATATTTTGGCCTCTAAGCCCATACAGATCCACTATCATCATCTGGAGATGGAAGACCGCGCTGCCAACATTTAAAAGGATGTTCTACCCTTCTCACAGGCTTATTTATTTATTTTTTTCTTACTTGCATAGGATTTATTCATTTTGGCATGAAACTTTCCAAAAGAATCTTCTAGTACTCAGAATAAACTGCAAAAACTAAAAGATTTCCCACATTTATCATATTCACAGGGCATCTCTCCATGAGTATTTTCATAAAAGGGAAGGAAACTAAGTTTGGAACATGAAGCTGCTAGAGTGTAGCAAATCGTCCCCATTCAGAGTGTTTGTTTTCCAGTGAGGGAAATGGCTTTGAAGACAACAGGGAAAATGGAATGATTTGCCATATTTTTTCACATTTAAACAGTTATTCAGCCAGATGTGGTGATGTATGCCTTTAATCCCAGAGAGTTGGGAGGCTTAGGCTGAAGGATCACAAGTTTGAGGCTAGCCTCAGCATTTTAGAACAACCCTAAGGAACTCAGCAAGTCTCTGTCTCAAAATTAAAAATATAAAAAAGAATGAGGATGTGTCTCAGTGGTAGAGGGCCACCAGACCAAATCTGCAGTACAATCCCCAGTAGTGAGCAATGTGTTTGAAGGGGACAAGAAATATTGATCCACCACATGTCACATTTAAAGAATTTTCTCCAGGAAACTTCCAACATGCTGATGAGAAGAACAGTAATAACAGAAGTCTTTGCCAATTGTTTTCATCAGTACAATTTCTTTGCAATATGAGTTTGTTCATGTAAGTGAAGCTGATGGGATATATCAAAGGCTTTTCCCCATTGTTGACATTCATGGGGCTTCTCTCCAGTATGAGTTCGTTCATGTGAGCAAAGATGAGAGGACTG